CTGCCTGTCTTTTTGGGTGTGGATGAACTCAGGGCCTTGGACTCAGATTACGAACCAGAAGCCTCTGTCTCATAGACACTTCTAGCTCCCTGCCCCCTTTATCTACAGACCAGCGGCTAGATGAAATAAAAATGCAACTGGATCTCAATCCAGAAGAAAAAATTCAGATGTTTAATGAATTTTCAATCTATAATTTTTAAAGAAAAGTCAAAATTACAGAATAAAAAGTGAGGACATTTTAGAGGCAGAAAAATTTTTAAGATTTTAAAAATAATTGATTCCATTTTCTCAGGATGTTAATGAGTTTGACGCATGAAATTCTTAGACTCATAAAATAGATAAAACATTATCTTTTAAGAAATAAGTCCCTCAGGAATTATTTAAGGTCTACTTTCTTTGGCTTTTTGTTGTGTTTGTTTTTGTTTTTTGCCTGTTTATTTTTTGAGACGTGGTCTCTTCTTGTAGCCCTGGCTGTCCTGGAACTTGGTATATTGATCAGGCTGGCGTTGAACTCACAGAGATCCACCTGCCTCCTGAGTGCTGGGATTAAAAGAGTGCACAATCATGCTCAGTTTCTATTTTTATTGCTAGTGCTGGCCTTCCAGCACGCTAAAACAATAGTTGTAATTATAAGTGATAATATTGCACCATGAGAAATTAGCTAATCAGAAATTTCACACAGCTTCTGGGACACCCATTTATTGGTTGCTTTTATACTTGCAGAAGTCAAATAACTGAGAAGAAGCGGTTGTGGGCAATAAGGACATCTTTTTAATATTTTAATTGAATTATAATTACATCACTTTCCTTACATCCTTACATCCTTCCAGTACCTCCAATGCCCCCCAATTCTCCTTGATATTTGAAGGATACAATTCAACATGTTGGGGAAGACAAGGTGAAGGGAAGGACTTGTGACAAACGGAGTTGGGGGCGTTGCTTATCACTTCACAGAAGTAATCTTGAAGCAGGAGCAGGGACAGTGCTGTCCCCCAGAAGTTCTGTCCCCATCTAATCACTTATTCCTGTGAAGCCCATCGCTCAAAGGTCTAGCACTACAACAGTGCCACCAGCTGGGGATCAAGTGTTCAAACACACTATCTTATCAGAAACCATTCATATCCAAAATCATATTTATTCACTCATGTCTACATTGCTGAGAGAAAACTAAATTGCACTTTATTCTTGTAAAATTTACAGTGCAAATAGTCTTAACTAGCCTATTATCTCTCAGTTCACACAGAAGGAGAAAAAATTATTTTGAAAAAGTTCTTTTGTGGTAGTCCAAGCACTCTATGGAATTTTCTCAACATTATTTTGAGGGAAAAAACCCACTTAATTTGGAACTTGTTCAGGGGTAGTTTATTGTAACTATGAGAAGGTGAAAAAACACAACTTAATAAAATCACAGCTCACTATGGAACTATACCAAATATTATAAAGCAAACGCATGAAGTAATAGATGTGCAAATAAAACAGGTGTTATACTGAGATTAGATAAGGCTGTCTTATTCAAGGACAATGTGAATTATAAGAATTTGAAATATATTAGCTTTTTTTTCTAGGTCAGTATTTTTCATACACTATGATTGCATTTATATAAATTGTAATCTATAGTAGAGGTTGACTAACTTATTCCCAACAGACGAATCCAATCCTCAGTTCATTTTGGTTTGGGATGTAGGATTAAATGAAGTTTAATTTTGATTTTTTCCTTTTATTTTTTTGAGAAAGTTTTACATCAGTAGAATGTATTCACATCATTTCCACTCTTTATTCTCTCCTTTCCAACTCCTCCTGTGTCTCTTGTATCTCCTTTCGAATTCATGATCTCTTCTATATTTCGATTGTTACATATATAACCACACATATACAAACTACTGAATCTATCTAGGGTTGACCATATATGTACATGTTTTTAAGACAGACTCAGAATTGAATAACTTATCAATGAGTTCATCCCTGGAGAAAACTGATTCTCTTTCTCTCAGCAGTCATTGATGGCCTCTAGCTTTTCAACTAGTGGTAGTGTTTACCACTCTAAAAGTATTGTGACTTTGGAGACTGGAGCCTGAAAATGAAGTGGACTAAAATGATATGCAGCAGCCAACTTTATTTAGAGTATTATGTGGTGATATTTTATTTGTGCTGAAATGTGGTGATATTTTATGTATATGTTAATAAATAAAGTTTGCCTGGAGAACAAAGGAAATAGCAAACCATTTTAAGGTAAACACAAAAGTCAGGCAGTGTTAGCACATGCCCTTAATTGGATCACTTGGCAGGCAGGGTCTCTGTGTGTTCAGGGTTACACTAGGAAACAGAGCCAAGTGTGGTGACACAAGCCTTTAATCCCAGTACCAACCATAGAGACCTGGAAGTCTGCACAGACAGGCAGTAAAAAGGAAGTGAGATAGTTGGGCTAAGAGCCAATGAGAGGGCAGAACAGCAAGGCACTAAAGGTGTGGGTAGACAGGAAGTAACTCACCTTTTGGTAGCTGCAGAGTCGGAGAGGAAAGGTTGGTGGCTATCACTATTTTTATGATCTCTAAGGCTTTCACCCCTATATTTGGCTCCATGTTTTTTATTTAATAAGATTGTTTAGAAATTCATCTACAGTATTAAACAATTCATACTCTGAGATTTAAAAAGCACTACATGAGTAAAGTGTACAATCACAACGATAATCCATACATGGCAAAAAATTGTTTTTCTGTAGAGCAGTGGTTCTCAACTTGTAGGTTTCAATCCATTTGGGGGTTATATATCAGATATTTATGATTAATAACAAAAGTAAAATTATGCTACTTTTACTTGTAGCATCAAAGTAATTTTATGGTTAGAGGTTACCACAACATGAAGAACTTTATTAAAGGGTCATAGAATTAAGAAGATAGAGAACTGCTACATAGAGGCATATAAATAAATAACTATAACAAGTTGTAATGGATAATCTGAAATAAACTCACTCCTAGCCACCAGGGAAGGGCACAAAAGCACATTCTCAGAACTGTGTTTTTGAAGAATCTGAGGTCGTAAGTCTCATATAATATTAAAAGGATCAGCCTTAATATTATGCTTCCCAGAGGCTCAGAAGAGAAAACTATGAATGGCAAGAATTATTTTCGGGAAATGAAACTAAGTACACCAAGCTCTTTGTCTGTCTACTTTATTCTTCTGAGATAAAATGCTATCTACACAGCTTCACTTCTGTTCTCGTGCCTAGCTCCTTTCTTGCCTGATTTCTCTCTACCTTTATCTACTGTTCCCTCTAAGTTCTATCTTCATTCTCTCAT